GCTAGACGGGGGAACGGGCGGTGTGGAAGGACAGCAGGGCTCTGTCCCGTCCTGCCCCCCCGATTCACGGACACGGCTCTCCGACAGGCTGCCTGGAGGAAGTGGAGTGGTGCGTTTCTCCATTCCCTTCCCAGAGTCTATTCCCGAAAGTGACTCCACGGCTGCTGCCTGCAGTCGGGCAGGGCCTGCAGTCGGGCAGGTCCGGGTCAGGGACCACGGTGACTCCACGTCCTGCTAGAAGCAGAGCTGAAACTGTGATTAATTTGCTTTTCCACAAAGCACCTGGCAGCCACCTGCTCCTGGCACCCGCAGCGCTGCTCAGCTGAACTTCTGGCTGCTGCTTTTGCCTCACTTCAAATTTCGTCTGTGCCGGTAGCTAAGCTAGCAGCTGCTAAAAACAAAGCCAACCTTCAATAAAACCAAAGATTGTAAAATAGATGGCGCTTCAATAGTCTGTGTCCTGGGGTCCTCTAAGGAGAACAGGTTGTGCTCCTGAGCAGAGTAATTTAGAAGTTACTTACAGATTTGTTAACAGTAATTTTTATTCCCTTCACTCTGTAAATAAGTTTAACTTCTTCAGCTGTTTCTTCTCTCAGAAACATGGTGCATTGCTTGTACACACAAGACAGTTCCCTGACATAAAAATGTTACAGATAGGAAGACAGAGCCAAGTATTTAGGTCTGGGGGGGAGAGGGAAGTGCCACTTCAACTCTGTTCTGTGGTAAGTCTTTTAGCAAAGACAAAATAACTTTTTATTTGAATGTTATTTTATTGTTTATTTTGATGTTTAATTGCAATCTATGCCCTTCCTGGTTAGACCCGAAGACAGAGTATCGAAGCATTTATCCACATTTGACAGAGCTTGCTCATATGAACATGAAGGCATCAAGTGAAACCAGCATACCAAAAGAATCTTGGTGACAAACTAAGAGGAACAGCAGTTATCTAACAACATAGCCTACACAGCCTTCTCCATTCAGAGAGATCACTGGTTTGTATGAAAACAGATGTTCTGGCATTATTACGTGGAGATGTAAACAACTTGCAAACTTCACACCCAGTTTTCTTGATTCAAAGAAAATTTCCTGTTTCCGATGCTGTTATGACTCACAATTCATTTACAGATGATTTGGTTGCACAAACAAAGGCTATCTTGTGCAAATTTATTTTCAACTCACCTCCTTTTAGTAGTGACTTAATTTCTTCTGAACGAATGAGCCTACTCCCAAATTCTAAAGGTGAACTAAGACAAAAAGATTCTTACAAATGTCCTCAGTATTTTCTCTTCCAAAGACATTAGAAATGTCAGATTTATGAGTGCAGTCACATGTCCAAGCAGTGACACAGAAAAGAAAAAAATATTTGTCTCCTTACCATTACAAATGGCAATAAAAAATACCACTCAACTCTAATATAGAATTTTCCATTCCAGAAATCTCGAAGTACCTTAGAAATAAGACAGCTGACATCTTAGAAAGTTGGCAACAGAGCACAGAGGAAGCTTGTAACTTGCCGTGGTTAGTTGCAGAACTAAAAAAAAGAAAAAACTTCCAACACAGTAGGACTCGCTCTAGCCCAAAGTAGCACTACCACATCAGATTATAGAATCCCCTCCAAAAAATAGGTTAAATCCCATATGAACTTCATCAGTAAAATTATGGGCTGTCCAAATTGGAAATACACTCATATCAGAAATATTAACTTTGTCTAGTGAAAATCTGACACTTCCGTCTACAATCATTAACTAGCATCCTGAACTTTAAATAAACCACCAGTTGTTTAAGGAGGAAATATGTTGCAAATTGCCATTTACCTTTCAAGATATGCAGGGGAGGAAGAATGAAACTATAATTCTGAAATCTAATAACAGATTTATTTTCCTGGTTTCAGCCTGGCTTTAATTTATGTCTTATTTCCAAATGGTTTTTGGTTTTCACTTTATTTTCTTCGAATCATAGAAACACATAATTTTAGGGGTTGGAGTGGACCTTAGAGATCATCCAGTCCCAACCCCCTGCCCTGGGCAGGGACACCTCCCCAACAGACCAGATTGCTCAAGGCCTCATCCAACCTGCCTTTGAACACTAGCAGGATTGGGGCAGCCACAGCCTCCCTGAGCAACTTGTTCCAGTGTCTTGCCACACTTACAGTTAAAAAACTTTTTTCTAATATCTAACCTAAACTTCTCCTCCTTCAATTTGTACCCATTATCCCTATCACTGCAGTTCCTAACAAAGAGTCCCTCTCCAGCTCCCCTGTAGCCCCTTCAGATACTGAAAAGTTGCTCTGAGGTCTCCACACAACCTTCTCTTCTCCAGGCTGAACTCCCTCAGCCTGTCCTCATAGGGGAGAAGCTCCACTCCTCTTATCAACTTTGTGGCCTCCTCTGGACTTGCTCCAACAGTTCCACGTCCTTCTGATGTTGAGGATACCAGAACTGCAGGCAGTACTCCAGGTGGGTCTCACAAGAGCAGAGTAGAGGGGAAGAATCACCTCTTTTGACCTGCTGCCACTCTCCCGTGGATGCAGCCCAGGATTCCATTGGCTTTCTGGACTGTGAGCTCACACTGCAGCTCATGGTGAACTTCTCATCCACTGTCAACTCCCAAATCTTTCTTATCATTACTGATCTCAATTACTTCTTCACCCAACCTGTAGGTGTGCCTGGGATTGCCAAGGACTTTGGCAAGAACAGCCAAATGTGAGCCACATCTGGTTTAGTACATATTTACACAGCAGGTCAATGAACAGCTCTTCCTAAGCCTAGTTACAGGAGGGTCTATTTCCTTATTGTTTTGCATTTCTTTCAAACTCTATAGGACCATCTCTGAGATGTTCTATAATAATGAGATGGGTCAATTAAAATGAATTCAGAGGAAAACAGGTAACAAATTCTGAAGAAACTAGAAGCAAACATGAACAATATGAACAAAATACCTGTAGAGTATTTGCAGTCATGAGTAAAATTGATTCAGGGAGTAGGGTTAGGGTGTCCTTTTTCTTCTGACTGCAACAGCAGTGACCACAAAAAGTCAGCTAGACTCTCAGTGAACTATTTCCCACTTCCTTGAAGGGTGCAAGTTATTTTAGCACAAGAGGCAAACCAAAATATTAATATATTTGTGACTTACTACCTCCTAAGCCGTAATGGATAATCCTAGCAAATCACCCTTTAATTTACAGTGAAGGAAAAGTCCACATCCCCCAGTACAGTCTTATTGGTGCTTTTTAACAAGCTCTTACTTTTCTCCTCACTCCAAACTTTTAGATCACAGAAAAGCAAACCCAAGTCACTGGTACCTTAACAGAAATCCTACCTCCTAAGCTGCTGAGAAGCTGAATCTGCACTTTGAGTACCTCTCATCTACCTCACTATACCTAGTCACTGCGTGAAAGTACATAATGATCCTGAGCAAACTTGTCTTCCCACTTTGCACTTTAATTTATGTGATTCTGATAACATTTGAAGTCAAGTATTGACATCCCTGACTAAGCAAACAGCTTACATCAGGGAACATCCTGGTTTGTCGAATTGACAAAATCCTTTTTCTTGGAAGGCATGTTTACATGCAACCACCCACAACCACTTCTGAATTGGTTTATCCTTTACTTTTCTTCACTTACTTTCTAAATAGAAAGATCTGTTCCAGCTCAAGGTCAAGGTGCAAAAGCTATTTTGTATTTTGTACGGCTGAGAAGTGGAAGCAACTGTGTCCTTTCTGGTCTGGCTTTCAGGAGTAAGTTTGCCAAATCTTCCAAGACCACAAAGCACATTAATCATATGAACTTGGCAGGATCAGCTGAAATTCAAACAAAAAATAGCAAGTGGCAAGAACGTTATGGAGAGTAAAGCAGTTTGCAGCAAAGGGCATGTAGCATAGCTACAGGACAAAAGAAAATGAACACTAAGCATACTACTTGGAACAGCCTAGCAAGCAAGTTTGTGAACTCCTTTCTCACTTGGAAGTGAGGGAAGCACTTGACCAAACCCCAGACATATATCCTTTGATGTGCAAAGGTAGGATCTATAAAACCTCAAGATAGCAAGAGTCTGGAAAGGTTTCAACATCTAAATTATGCTCCAGTTTTGGCACAAACCAAGTATCTAGACTGATCTGAAAACAATTACTAGTTTCTAGTGGTCTCTAAGTAGCCTCCTGTCAAAACCAGACGAGCCTGACGCTGCTGAGGCAGCTGGCATTGCTCTGACCACACTGAACAGTCACTGCTGCTAAGTCAGACAAATGACCTGTCAGTATATTATATTCACACATCTACTGAAGAAGCTTACAAGGGTTTCTTGGTAAGTTATTTAGGGGAATGTGTAAATCTAAAAAACGACAAAGTTACCTATATGATCTCTCAAAATTTGTAACTCTTTCACTGAAATGCTGCTGGCCTGGTGCCAATTAAATGTACCCCACGTAAATACAAAAAAAAAGAATTGCAAAAACAGTAAAACAAGCAGCAGTAACATTTGCTGAGAATATACTGCAATCTTATCAGACTCAGTTTCAGTATTTCCATTAATTAGCTGTGCAGTAACTTTAATATTCGAGTTAGTGTATTAGCAGCAGAGGTTACCAAATGGGTAAATTTACAGATAGAAAGATGCAGGAACAGACAAACATACCTGCCAGCAGGAGCTGCTAAGCTTTTGCTGATGTTCTCCTCCCTCATTCTGAAACAGCCCTTTCCTGCAACCCTACTCAGAACCCTGTAACTGAAAGACCTTTGCATCTGCAACATTTCTCTAAACACACTTAGAAAATTTTGGGAAAATATATTTTATTAACGACTGTTTTTTAAGCAAAGCTTTCCAATGATCACTCATTCAAAAGTTTTTAAATAAAAGTTTATTACAGAAATTATTTTGAACAAAAAATGGAACAGTATCTGTTGTAATTAAAATAAAAAAAAGTAACATTGTATTCATGCCCTAAAAGGTGAACTGAAGAAATGCTACAGGTCTTTCTTCCACTGCCAGTCTGTGATGCTTTCTAGTATGGATTAACTCACATCTCCATCACAAGAATTAAGGATGAACAGTCCCTTTCCATGCTTCTCTCCAGAAAGTGCTGCATATTAACAGAAAATATTGCAGACAAACCACAGTTCTATTCATTCCGCAGTATTGGAACCAGTGTCTAGGAAAGAAAAAAGAAAGTGAGATTAATATATATCCCCACCAAGTATAAATTCAAGAGGACCAACAGCATTCTCTAAAACCTTCCCCGAGTTCAGAAGCATTCCCCAAGCATTTTAGAACATGCTGTGTACTGACCCAATTCCCTCCACTGCTATCAATGCCACACATGAACTGCTCGTGCCATTCCACTTCAGTTAGCAACACTGAAAAGAACCAGCACAAAACTCCAAGGTTGTGCACACAGATCATTTGCTATCAAGGCATTACAAATACTAGAAGCCTTGCTCTAACTTGAAGTGATACACAAACACTTTGTTGCAAGCACATCAGGCTATGATCTACTAAAGAGAAAGGCTTTTGCACACCCAGTAGCTTAAGCTCTGATGGGAGTCTGGGCTACAGTTCATTACACATTTTGAAATAGATGGAAGAATGAGCATGATCTTCATAAAGCAACCGAGAGCAATTCTCTGCTCTGAACTTTTGTCAGAAGCACCAATTAGCACCAGTGCAACTTCTGGTAATACTACCCCTGCCTTCTTATTTTCAGAGTTATGGAAAAAATATGTGACTCAGATATGGAGAAAGGCAAGCCAGTGTTTATTATGTTCCTTCAGCAAGTCAACATCTCGTGGGGGAAAAAAAGGCTGTAATGTTAATAATAACAACTTTAACTTAATACAAATTATTATTAAAGTCACCTAGCTGTTTTAATCTTATCTGCACACTTAATCAAGACTGACAACCATTAATGCTTGGAAAGTAAGGTTTCCTCCACTAGCTATAAAATGCACACAAAAAATAAACACAGTGGGATTATATGCTTGGCTAATACCACAAGTTGAACAAACAATAAATTCTGTCAACTCTTTAGAACTACAACTTGAAGTGACTATTGTAATCATGCCAGGATCAGGAAGTCGTGAAGAACCTGTTTCAGAGTCTATGGTATATTTAAATATAGCATTTTTCATTCTCAGTTCTTCCCTTTAGCATCACTCCCCAAGGGCAAAACAAGTGGCAGCATTTCACACACCTTTAGCAATATTCTGCCAGACTGATGGGTTTAAAAGCTAAAAACCAGCTTGTCACAGGAGTCACTATATTACTTTTTGCAGGAAAGAATCTCAAGGAATACTGACAAATCCAGTCAAGCAGATCTGGAACATAAACTCCCACAAGCAGTGCACGTACAGGAGGCCTGTTAGGCAATATAGAAATCTTGTGATGTGATTTGGAAATGTTATAATGAGCTTTTCATGTGCTTGTGTTCCCTGCTATTAAATCCACCAAATGATTGCTTTGACAGTGTTCTCAGACAATTCCCTGCTCAGACTGCTGAAGCAGTTTTCAGAATCAGTAAAACATGGTGCTGGCCTAACAAGCAGGTTAATACTAGAAAAATCACCACACAAAATTAAGATTACTTCTGACTTTCTAATTGCTCTAGTTGCAGGTACTTCCCAACAGTAGTGCACAGCAGTCCCTAAGATAGTCCTGTCTCAGTGTTTATGTATCAGGGAAGCATTTAGCTTGCTTTTGTTTCACCTCTCATCATACATAAAAGGGAGTGCAGAGCCTTACTTCTGTCTGAGTAATACAATCAGCCTAGCTTCAATTAGACATTTGGTCAAAGCTTCCTATCAATGATCAAGTCCCGTGTCTCAACTTATTTATGTAATATTCCATACTTACTTTTTCCGTCACATGCTACAATTTTCACTTTATCCACTTTCACAAGTTCAGTGACCTCCCTAAATTCAACATCGTTCAGTACAAACGTCCATACGTTGTCACAGAACCTGTATGTATTCAGAGACCCCTTTAAAAAGACGAGAGACATTTTCTATAGGATGCATCCCAAAAGTAACAGAAAATATGTTTAGTATCTACTGAACAATGTCCCTTTAGAACTAGACTTGCCATAAAGCCACTGTGAACCTGAATGCATACAAACTTGGCAAGCAACCACGTCTGAGGAAACTTCAGTTTAAATGCCCTCCAGTGGCTAAAAGTTTCAAGACCATGTAGTGACATTACAGTCTATCCAAGGGGAAGACAGGTAGGCTAACAACTTCCAGAGCTCTTCTAATGTGTATAAAGGATCAGTATCTGAAAAGATTTCTTAAAACATTGGGCCATAAGAAATATCAGTTACAGCAGTGATGATAAGAAGGTGTGAATTCTGCAATTGTTTAAATAAAGCATTGTTTAAATAAAAAATGATGACCAAACTGACCCATGTGACATAAAGGTTTGATGTATTACTGAGCATGTCAATAAGTAAACCTTTTGGCCTTCACCTTCCCATATTTTAAACTGATATTCTTGAACTTAAGCTCTAAGTAACATTTTTGTAAGTTATCCACTAAACACACTCTGAACAGTCTTCTACACCATGTTACATATACAAAACAAGTGTGTTAGAGAAAAGAAATTATGCTATTTTTAACATAGCCATATTGTTTAAAAACTAGTATCTCAGGACCTAACATTGTTAATTTATAGACTGTACAGGAAGTTACAAGTTAACAGCAACCTGGTTTTCGTGGTGTTTTTTCCTCATAATTACAATCAAGTTGACATTTAACTTGCTGCCTATCTGATATTCATTAGGGTGGGTGACTGGGAAAAAAAGCCTCAAACTTATTTTTCTAAGATACCTACAGAACATAGCTACAAAATGATCCAGTGAAAGGGTAGAGCTAAACCTCTAGTCTCACCTCACATTACAAACGTGGCTGAAAATCCAGCCTCATCTCACTTTTGCTAGGTACAGCTAAGAGAAGCAACAATCTCCCTCATCTGCAAGACACTGAGGATGGTAATGCTATCAATCAAAGCACTTCCCTCTTCCCTGTTCTCATCTGCTCACCAAATGGAACAGGAAAGGTTGCTCAGGGAAGCAGTGGATGCCTCAACCCTGGCAGTGTTCAAAGTCAGGCTGGATAAGGCCTTGAGCAACCTGGTCTGGTGGGGAGGTGTCCTTGCCCATGGGACAAGATGATCTATAAGGTCCATCCCAACCTCTAAAATTCTATGATTCTATGAAATCTGCTTCTGATTTTTGCATTCTTTTTTAAAACCCCTGGCAGAATAAGGTAACAAGCCTGACAATTGCATACAGAAAATACATGTAAACAGTCATTACTTCAGAGCCAAAATGGACCTTCTTATGTCTGTGCTTAGAGCACACAGCTTTTAATGACAGACAGTAACTAAGCATTGATGCAGAATCTCATTAAGAACTTGTACATTTCGTTATCTTACCCTGAAATTGACTCTGTTCCTGACTCGCTGTGCCAGCGCCGAATTGATAGCTTTATCAAACTGAAGTAGCACCTGAAGGGCCAACTGAGGTGTGATCTGCTGTGACTAAAGTAGTGTAACAAAAAAAAAAAACCCAGAAGTTTTGAGTGGTTTAAAAGTGAACTCAAACATGCAGTAAAAGTTAAAAACATCAAAACAAAGTTTACCTGAAGCAGATCTCTGCAACAATTTACAAAAACAGTATGTTCCTGTGTTTATTTCCATTTACCTATTTTAATTCTGAGAGAACCACCAATGTGCTATCATGCTTTCTTGTGCTACACAAAGATTTCTTCTAATAAATATTCACTGGAAGTAACCAGAAGAGCAGTAAATTGATTACAATGTTCTGGATTAATCTGACTGTACATTTACTGGGCCAAACAGGAAACTAGGCCACTTACATAAAACATTTTCCTTCATCCAGAACATAAAGACTTCTCAAGGGAATGGAGTATGAATAGCTTTCCAAACCTTGGTCATAAGCATCCCAATCCAGCAACCACAAAGCTGGTTTAATAACCACCCTCTGTTTTTATTAAGCTAATCTAAACCCCACACACACCTGTATGAGCTCATCTAGACTCTCCTGAAGGCTGTTTCCCAGCGTGGTGTTCCTGTACAGCTGATAGGCCATGGTTCACCGAGAGGGGCTGCACACCTTCCTGACCATCCACGGCTCTGGGCGCCCGCGATGTCCTCACTCTCACTTAAAGCAAACACAAATAGTAATAAGCCCTCTCCAAACCCAGAGGAGAGCCCACACTGCACCCTGCAAGGCAAGGTATACACAATTCATGAGACCACCCCACACACACTGACCAACACTCGGTGCACTGGGGGCACAGGGGACACACACACTGCCCTGGGACCCACACACCACCCCAGGACACACACACTGCCCCGGCACCCACCGCCTTGGGACACACAGACTGCTCCAAGACCCACTGCTCCAGGACACACACTCTGTCCCATGACCCACCTCCCCGGGACCCACATACTGCCTTGGCACCCACTACCCTAGGACACACACACTGCCCCGCGACCCACCATCCTGGGACACACACACCACCCCGGGACACACACACTGCCCTGGGACTCACTGCCCTGGGACACACACACTGCCCTGGCACCCACTACCCTAGGACACACACACTGCCCCGCGACCCACCATCCTGGGACACACACACCACACTGGGACCCACTGCCCTGGGACAGACACACTGCCCTCGGGCCCACCGTCCCGGGACACACACACTGCCCCGC